GCAGCAATGAACTTAGCTGGACGCGACGTGCTTCATCGCGAGACGGGTACGAGTGGCGATGTTCAAAAAAGGGTTGCGATGGAATGGCTTCAATGCGCCGGAATTCACCGGTGCGCACACACAGGGTATCGAAAATACATGGTGGGGAATCAAGCGAGGTTTGCCCCAAACAGGAACATCCAAAGGACTTTTCGATGGCTACCTACAAGAATATATGTGGCGTCAGCACTACGGAAACGATCCCTTTGGAAACATTATCGAACATATCGCCCAACTTTTTGAAGTCCAGAAAGACTAGATACACAGGTTTCTTTGCATCGCTGTATGCACCTGCCTTCACGAACAATTTTTACCTCTAGGACACGAAAGGATAATGAAAGAATCCACCAAAACCACAAGAACAGGTAAGACACAACATTTATTTAAACTTTGCATTGGCAAACTTCAATGCCTGACCGTAGACTTAACGCTATTTTCCGGCCAATTTTACGCTTTCAAAGCGAAGCTGAACATTCAGTTATATTTCAAAATTAAAACCTCTGGAAAATTACTTGTGTTTTCCGTTTTGCAAAGCCAAAACGCGCCAAATTTACCCTGTTTCAAAAAAGACTTAGAAAAAAAATCCCACTCTTAAAAACAAGGACTACTAGTCTCTGCGAAGTTCTAATGTTATCGCTATTATTTTAATTGAACAAAGACTGAATGCATAATTAATGTATGGGGTTATATGGTACTCTTACCGCGAAACGTATTAAACATTTCACTTTTGTGGGCTAAGTTAAAGGCAAGTTTGTTTTCATGTTCTAATCAAACATGGCGTCTTCAGGTCCAAGTTTAAGAATTTATTTTATCACTTAATTTTGCCTTTTGTACACGAAACATCAAAGTCAGTTCTCATGAAAGGCTAAAATGCTAAAAGAGCTTTTTGGAAAAGAAACATGATTATTTTGCAGTAAAATTTGGTGACGAAGAACGATATAACAACAGAGCAAGCCCCTTGTTCGAACTTTTAACACGAAAACATAATTCAGCGGTTGGTGCAATTTATTGGAGCAATAAAAAGAAAAATTTAATCCGTTGAGAAGTGGATAAATATGCTTCTCAATGACCGCCGAACCAGCATCCCCTTAGAATATCGTTTTCAAACTAGTGCAGATTGTTCCTGCTGTGTTTTTGGCCTCGTGTTCTCTATAATTAAATGTGTTCCTGACATTGTTTCAAATTTTTGGAGCTTAAATTTTAATGCGTGTCTGGGATCGCATTAACAGCTAATGAGTGTATAGTGTTGTGACATTTTCTAGGCTTGTAGATGCCATTTCTTGTGGCGAAAAGTTAGGGATCCGTTTCTGAAGAACATATAAAATTCTGAAAAAAGCGGGTCAATCGAGCTGTATATATATTTAGCGAAGATTTGAAACGAAAAACCTCGACAAGAGTTCTAAACACCATCGAGACTTAAGATATGCCTCTTTATTTTTTTAATTATTTTTTAAAATGAAAGAAATAAAGGCTTTTGTAGCCCGCAGTTAGCAAAGCTATTCTAGGCGGGCTACCTAAACAGACACTGTATAGGCTCTCACACACACACACACACACACGCACGCGCACACACACGCAACAATGAAATAAATAAATAAATGAGCAAATAAAAATAAATAATAAATAATAGTAGTAATAATCATGTTAAAGGTTTTAACTGAGCCAGTCACACAAGGGAGTTTTTAACAGGTCAAAGAGAAAGCTAATCAGTTGAAATACAAATATAAGCTAGAAAGGTCAAGGTAGCGCAAGTCAACATTCATCTCCTCAATTTCAAGAATTTTCAAAAGCAAGTGAGTTAGCTCACGTTTAAAAGGTGCTTTCTTTAGCTTACGAATTTCAGGGGGGATGCCATTCCATATTTTCGCACCAACTCTAGAAAAGGAAAACAACTGATGATTTGTTCTCGCCTGTTTTATATAAAAGCTTCCAGCTACTGAGAAACGAGTAGAGTAGGAATGAACCTGTTCAGAGTGAGTAAAAAGTTCAGAAATATTGAGAGGAGCACAGCGATTTTTGATGTCATGTAACAGAGAGGCAACCAATTTGAAGTAAAGCATTTTTATCGGTAGAATTCCCGAACGACTAAAAAGAGGAGCACTGTGAGATGTATAATCGGAAAAGTGCATTAGACGAAGAACCCGCTTTTGTAAAATGACGATTTTGTTTAGATGAGTATTGGCGGCTTGGCCCCAAGCAACGAGACCATAGGAAATATACGGTTCAATGAGCGAGCGGTAAATGTTTATAAGAGTAGTGAGCGGTACCAAGTGTCTTAGCCTTGCAACAATACCGATACCTTTGCTTATTTTCGTGGAAATGTAGTTAATATGATGCTTCCAGGAGAGATTACCGTCAATGAGAACACCTAGGTATTTAACATATGTCTTACGTTCAAGAGATACCAATTGCTCCGAGTTATTATCAAGTATTTTAAGGTTTACTTCTCGGTATAGTTTGTGTTGATAAGGATGAAAAATAACGAAATTAGATTTGGATACGTTAAGAGATAATTTATTTGAATTCAGCCATTCACACAACTTTAATATCTCTTCATTGACGACAACTTCAAGTTTCTTTAGATCTTTTTCTGCATATAGTAAATTGGTATCATCAGCAAATAGGTAAAAGTCAAACTTTTTAGAGGAACGATGCATGTCATTGACATAAATTAAGAAAAGAAGCGGACCAAGTATAGAACCTTGAGGGACTCCACACACTATTCTCTCTTTGCTAGAGACAATAGAACCGATTTGGGTTGATTGCATCCTGACAGACAAGTATGATGAGAACCAGTCATTAATCAATCCTCTAATTCCATAATGGTGTAATTTATGCAACAAAATCGAATGATCAACTGCTA